GTGCAGGTTAGGTGGATTGGCCATGAGAAATACAGGGACGGGGGTGGATCTGGGTGGGATGCTCTTCAGAGGGTTAGTGTGGACTTGATGGGTCAAATGGCCTGCTTCCATGCTGTAAGGATTTTATAAAAATTTTCCAGATTGTTACTTCCAGATCCTAGATGAGGTTCACCAATTCCTATAACTCCACATGGGATACCCCAAACTGTTAAGTTCCCAGGTAAAAAGGGATGAGCTAGCTTCCCTTCTTTACTCACGCACCTTCATAGTTGCCACAAGGTTAGTGTGGATATGTTTCTCCCAAACTGAACCCATGCTTCAAAAAGGAACCATTTTAGCCAGGTACTTTTGAGTTAATAAAAAGAATGAGTTTATTCATTACTGCACACAAGAAAAACTAACACAACAGACATAGGCACTGATTAGATATAAGAGGTGGTGCAAAAAGCTGAAAGTTTAAAAAGAAACTGATGTGCAAATTGAGATGAAAAGTGGATTGTTGAACGTTCAGTTAGTATTTGCAGTAGCATCGTCATTGGTACTTGAAAAGTCAGTTTTACGATCCAAAATTTTGCAGCTTGGTTGAGATTCTGTAGTTGATTCCTTTCAGGGTGAGAAAGAGTATTTTTGTTCTGTTTACCTTCTGTCTGGCTGTAAGCTAGCTGACATCTCACACTCTGGGTGCAGGAAATCCATGGCCAAATGAAAACCTTGAAAGTGTATGTCAGTAGCCTCCAACCTTTTGAAGCATAAGATCACTTTTTGAATTTAAGGGTGATCCAGAATCTATCACTAAGAAAATGTAAAATGTAAAATATTTTTAATTTATTCTATTTAAATATAAGTATATATAATTCTCTACTCACTAAGTCACAGTCTGATACCTGTGACTGCATATTATCCACCAGTGCCTGTTAGTCTCGGTGGTCATCCTGCGACTGAAGAAGCACCATGTGATATACTTTGGATTGCCATAATTATTTCTTCTTTGATCTTAAAAGTCTTTGAATAAAGAGTTGGAGGTCACAGTCATGGCTTCTTTTAGTTACTTCACCATCTGTGAATGATTTTTCATCTTTTGCCAGAAAATGGTAAACACGTGATGCTTCAGTGCCTTGGCTTACAAACAAAATGACTGTTGAGCTTTCAAAATGACCTTCAGTTCTTTAACCTTTGTCCACAGTGTGATCAAGGGAAAACAGTTGTTGAATTTATTGTGCATTGTTGTGTGGTGTTTCAAATTTCCCTTTTTACATATTGATACACTTCAATGACATATAAGGCAACCATTCTTACCTTTGCAAGTTGTACATTTTTGATCTCTTTATGGAAGGTCCGGGTTCATCACTCATTGTTTTTGCTAGCTAGGGATGTGTTTTTTTTAGCTAAGGGGGAAACCAAGATACCACTAGCTACTATAGCCTACAACTGAGAACCTACCTTGGGTTACAGATGTGCATAGCATAAGATAAACAAACAAGTGTAAAGGCTTTTTTCAACCAAATGTTAAGGCTTGTTCATACAGGCTGGGCATACAGGCACAACAAATATAGAGCACACTTAACCTTCACTGGTGGGCTGCATTATCAGATTTGTTGAACTCAAACGTAAGTGATAGCTAGATGGTTTAAAAGAAATTACATAACTAAAGTTTGCTGTTTCATTAAGGACCCAAGGCAAAAATAGAGTCACTAGGAATCAGGAGGAAGACTCTTCACTGGTTGGAGTGATACCTGTCAGATGTCCTGAGGGTGTCTCTGCAGGTGTTCCTCAAGGTAGTACCCAAGGTCAACCATTTTTCAGCTGCTTCAGCACCATTCCTCCATCGTAAATTCAGAGGTGGGATGTTCTAGATCATTGCAAAATGTTCACCATCATCAGGGACCACTCAGAAACTTAAACAGCCTGTGTACATAGGCAGTAAAACTTGGATAACATCTAGGATTTAACTGATTTGTGGCAGGTAACATTTGCATCATACAAGTACCAGGGAATCACGAGTTCCAAAAATAAGTGCATCTAATCTCTAAATGTTCGATTGCATTACCACGATTGAAACTCCCATTATTGACATCCTGGGAATTACCATGGAGCAGAAAGTGAACTGGTACAGCCATTCAAACACTGTGGCTACAAGAACAGGTAACAATTAAGAATCCTGCAGTAAGCAACTCACCTCCTGACTCCCCAAAATCTGTCTGCAAGGTACAAGTCAGGAGTGTGATGGAACATTCTCCACTTGACTGGATGAGTCAACTACATTCAAAAAGCTTGCCACCATCCAGGACAAACAAGGCTAGTATGATGAACATACTGGGACACTGGGAAGCACCAAGTATCACATGTCCACTGGTCACTTAAGTTAACAAGACAGGTAGATAAAGATAGATATCAGATAAAAGTAGATATCTACTGCTGAAACTCTCAATGCCTCTGTACATCTAGGCAAGACTATTCCCACGTATCCCTGGCTGACTCCACAGTCTACCCTCTTTAACTTGAGGTTATCCTAAACTCTGCTGCTCATCCCCTAAATTTCTACAAATCCCATTAACTCATTTTTACTGTGCTTGCTGACCCATACAATCTCCCAGTTTAGCAACGCTTGGTTTTAAAATTCTCAACCTTGTTTTTCAAGCAAGGTCTAGCTCCTCCCTATCTCGGTAATCTTCTCAGTCCCACGAATATCTGACATATGTGCACTCCTCTAATTCTGGCTTTGTGAGCATCCCCTATTTTAATTGCTCACTAATCTGATCATGCCCTCAGCTACAATACTTTAATCTTATTTCACGTTCCTCCCTTTATACAACCTTGAATCCTTCCTCTTTCACTAAGCTAAGCATCATCCACCTCAGTATGTTTCTATTTGACTTGGTGAAATGTTTTGTTTTAAGACATCTCGGTCAAAGGCTTTGGGATGTTCTAGTGCAGTAAAGGCGCTATGTGAATGTAAGTAATTGTTGAGTTTGCTTTGAATGTTTGGTTTGGTTTGTTTTGTCCCATTATGAGCTTCAGGGAGACAATTTCTTTCAAAGAAGTTTGACCTTCCAATTTTCAACTGAAAGTATCATGCCAGATGATTTACAGTACAAGAATTAAACAAAGTTGGTTCTACTATTTAACACTATGTTCTACAAACTTTTATTCTTTAAACCTGAAAATTTGAATGGTCCATTTCCTGCTTTGATTTTAATTATACTCAAAAGCTCCCCTATGCTTTCCAGGGTCCAGAAGAATCTCTAACTTCTCCTGGGACTGAAGCAAGGTGTACGACAGCTCTCAGGAATTCACTTTGACTCATCTCAGTTTTCAAACTTGTCCTTTGACCTGAAAAAAAAATCTGGATACATTAAGATCTTCCCTTGTTTGAAGTTCACTTTCAGATCTTCCCTCCACTGCTATATCAAGCTTGAATTGAGTTGACTGTCCATTAATGTAGCTGAGTTCTCTTTTGTCTGGTTCAGAAGGGTCAACTACTTCCCCTTGCAATAACTGTAGTACTTCTTCTAAAGGAGGTGTGTCATCATCTAATTATATATGTTCTAATGGATGTATATCTAGGGTGTCCAATTTTTCTAATGGTGTTTGCAATAAAGCATTGACTTATTTGAGATGTTGCCAGCATTGTTTCTGTCGTTTGAGGACTCTTTCTGGTCTTTGCACATTTTTGAAATTGCCTCACTTTATTGCAAAGATGGCACTCTTGAGATAGAGCTGGACATTGCTTTTGTTTTTGTAAATTTTTCCTAGCTCTGCTCCTTGGACTATGACTCCTCGCAGCATCAAAAAAATTGAAGCCCTTTGTGTTGATTTGTCCTGGAGTGTTTGTATCTTATGATGTTGATAGATTTTGATGGTCTTCTGGAGTAAATTTGTCCTTCTGTTCCACAGAATTTGTCTTTTTAAAATCTCAGCTTCGAACACAATCTGATTAGCATTTTCAAGTGTGAGATCTTCCTTCAATTGTAAAATATCTAGAAGAGACTAATCAAAACTTCAAATGACGATCTATCTGATTAGTTCTGGTTGTCATGCACCACATTCATGAGATTCATACAATGTATAAAGGTCATTAATAAAGTTGTCAGTGGGTTCTCTCAGAAACTATTATTTTATTGAATCTTGCTTGTTCCACGATTGGTTCTCTAAGTAAAATAGTTGTCATGTTTTTAAGACATCAAAGGCATCAGTATTTTTTAAATTATTTGTCTGTTAGTAATATGGTCTTCTCGGCATGTAATTTGTTGTGTTGACCTGTAGCAATTCTGGCTCAGGAAATATTTCTTCCATGCTGACAATTTAACTTGCAGTCCAAAGTATCCATAATCTTGAATCTGTATGGATGTGCAATAACTTTCTGTACTTCTGTGTTGAAATTGAACTGCTCATTATAAACATAACTTCCAGGTGAAGCAACACTTCACCTGCACTTCCAAGAATCTAGTCTACTGCATTCGCTGCTCACAATGTGGTCTCCTCTACATTGAGGAAACGAAGCGTAGACTTGGCGACCACTTCACAGTTCTGCTCGCAAAAAAGACTCTGAACTACCTGTTGCCTGACACTTCAATGCACCGCCTTGCTCCCTGGCCAATGTCTCTGTCTCCGGCTTCACTCCAGTGAAGCCCAGCATAAGCTGGAGGAACAACACCTCATTTTCCGCTTGGGGATCCTACAGCCCTCCGGACTCAATATTGAGTTCAATAATTTTAGGACCTAAACTCTCCCATGTCCCAGCCCCCCACCCCACATACCAGGCCTTGTTACCACATAGCCTGCCATTACACACCCCCTGTTGTTAGTCACTAACAGTCCCCAATAACAACTATTCACCCTCCCAGCCTGATCGTTAGCAACTCCTTTGTCTGTCCAACTGTCTTTCTCTCTCTTTGGGCTCTATCCTATCGTTTACTCCCTACCCCACCCACCTCCCTATTTTCTGCATATAAACTGACGTTTTCCCAGCCACCATCAGTTCTGAGGAAGGGTCACCGGACGTGAAACGTTAACTGTTTTCTCCTCCACAGATGCTGCCAGACCTGCTGAGCTTTTCCAGCAACTTTGTTTTTGCTGCTCATTATAAGTTGTGAAGGGTTTGATACATTCATATCTTCTAAGGAGATACAAGTCAAGGTTTAAGCTAACTGATTGTTAACTTTAAAAGAGGACTGCAGAATGACACACAAACACCACTGACTAGCTCCTCCTGAAGACTGTTATATATGTCAGTGGGTGTAGCTATGCTCGTATCAAGGCTACACTTTATCCCACTCCAACTGCTGGGGCTACACTCACCATCCAGGCAGTTGTGGTGTCTCTAACATAACAGCCAGCAACATAGCAGCAAGGTGCCTGCATCAAAGAATAGGAACAATAATGTGAGAGTGGGGCACTGAGGAGGTCTGCTGCTGCAGTGACAGTGGTAAGGTTTTCTTGGGCGTTAACAACGCCAGGCAAATGGATATGGGTTAAGTCAGCAATGGCTTCCAGTTTCAAGGTGCAAATCAATAGTGCCAGAGCAGTGGCAGGAGATACACTGTTGGATTAACTCTTTCAGGCTAACTGCCATATGCATTAATATTAATCCAGGAAATCTGGGAGTGCTCCTCACATTATTGTTTTTAAACTTTACATATTTAACATTTTTTAAACAGATCACAAACAAGTTTAATAACAAAATCAGAAATGCTTGATAAACTCTGTGTTCCATAGAAGAGTTATACTGGACTCAAAACATCAACTCTGTTTCTCTCCCCATTGTTTCTGTCAGACCTGCTGTGTTCCTCCAGCATTTTCTGTTTTTATCTCAGATATCCAGCATCTGCACTACTTTGCATTTATTTGCGGTTTGATTAACATTCAGGTAACCAAATTCACTCCAACACTTAGGTACAAATGTAAATCTTGCGACAATAATTTGTATTGTCTAGATGAAGGTAAAATAAGTTGAAATCACCTTTGGTGATTCCTTTGATGTTCTTCAGAAATTAAAAAAAGTGTTGTTCCATGGGATTACTTTTTCATTGGTATTTAACAGAAATTACAACCGAACTACTAATTACAATTTTTCAATTATTGAATTGTAATAATTTCATTTTCTTTTTTTTTCCTTAAGTCACTCAGTTTTTTCTCATTTGTGCAGTCACTAGATTGTAGTATAGACCTTGCTTAGCAAGAAGCTGATGATGTGTTCCTTCCTCTGCAATCCGGCCATTACTAAACACTACTATTTTACTGGCATTCTGGATGGTTGACAGACGATGAGCTATAACAATGCAGGTACGTCCCTTTCTTGCTTTGTCCAGTGCTTCTTGGACAATCTGTTCAAATGGATAAAATGACAAAATGAAATCTATGACAGGTCAAGTTTGCTGAATAATTTTGACCACAGATTTTTAAAACTATATCTGACTGACGCTCGTAGAAATTGATGGCTTTGCATTTCTAAATCAATGACTCAGTGTGGAATGCATATAAGCCACTGAGAAAAACCTACGTTATGCAGCATAATGAAAAACTGGAACCATTTGAAGCTAGAATTTTGCCCAGTAGCTTCTTCAGTGGCCCACTTACACTTCACCCAAATCTCAATTCCAAAAACCTACTTCTTGCATCATAATCTGCGGTAAATCCTCTTCCCCATCACCTCTTTCTTCACTAAACTACATTAACTGCTTATCAAAACAAAATTTAACAAAACCTTATCCTTGTTTACAAGTCTCATTGTGATCTTGAACCACTTGTACAACCACTTCCAACCCTAATTCAAATCTTCCTATCCACTGAGTCTATTAGAGCCGGTTAGCTCAGTTGTTTGGACAGCTATTTTACGACGCAGAGTGATGCCAACAGCACAAATTTAATTCCCACACCATCTCAGGTCCTGTCTTCTCAACTTCACTTGGGGTGTGGTGACACTCAGGTTAAATTCACCACCGTGTGGCTTTACCTCATGAGAGAGCAGCCCTATTGTCCTCTGGGCCCATGTCTACCTTACTCAGACCAGTTTCTTCTATATCCTCCATCTTTCCATTCAGACATCAGGCATCAGCCAACTTGGCCTTAGCCTCTGGAACCTCCTAATCTTGAACTCTGCTACACATCTCCCCATCTCCTTCTCTACCCACCACCTTTGGATGGTCTTCCCAGTGAACTACCCCATACACATTCACAGCTCTTGAATTTGATGACAGATTTCCAAGGTTCAGGAGGAGGGAAGGATTTGGGTTCTTATGGCATTAGGACCAATTCTGGGAAAGTTGGGATCTGTACAAACTGGATGGCTTGCATTCAGTGGAATGGGACAACATCAAAGAACAAAGAACAAAGAACAAAGAAAATTACAGCACAGCAACAGGCCCTTCGGCCCTCCAAGCCTGCGCCAATCCAGATCTTCTATCTAAACCTGTTGCGTATTTTCCAAGGATCTGTATCCCTCTGCTCCCTGCCCATTCATGTATCTGTCTAGATACATCTTAAATGATGCTATCATGCCCACCTCTACCACCTCCGCTGGCAATGCGTTCCAGGTACCCACCACCCTCTGCCTAAAGAACTTTCCACGCATATCTCCCTTAAACTTTTCCCCTCTCACCTTGAAATTGTGACCCCTAGTAATTGAGTCCCCCACTCTGGGAAAAAGCTTCCTGCTATCCACCCTGTCTATACCTCTCATGATTTTGTAAACCTCAATCAGGTCCTTACAGGGGCATTTGTTAGTGCTGTGGGAGAGGATTTAACCTAGAGTGGCAGGGGAATAGGAACCTGAGAGGGGAACAAGAATGAGAAAATAAAGGAGAAATGGAAGTCCGAAAAGTAAAAGTAGAAGGCAGAGGAAACAAGGGTTAGTGGCATATAGTGTTGTGGAACAAAGTAATTGTGTAAAAGTGTCAAGAAGTCAGCTCTAAAGGTGCTATATCTGAATGCATGGAGCATTCACAATAAGGGAGATGACTTAACGACACAAATAGTGTAAACAAGCATGATATGATTACAATTACAAAAACATAGCTGCAGGGTTAACAAAACTGGAAACTCAACATTCTTGGGTATTCAATCTTTCGGAAGGACATGCAAAAAGGAAAAAAAGAGATAGGGTGACATTTGTTGTGAAAGATGAAGTCAGTGAAATAGTGAGAAAAAAATTGCCGTACAAAATATGTGGGTACAAACAGTCTGGACAGAGCTCCTAACAGGAGAGTTTGGTTGACTGGGCCTGTATTCACTGGAATGGAGAAGAATGAGAAAGGATCTCATTGCAATGTCTAAAATGCTGGCAGGATTGGACAGTCTGGATTCAGGGATGATGATTCTCCTGGCTGAGCCTGATATAACAAGGGGTCGCAACCTCAGGTTATGGAGTTGGCCATTTTTGACCGAGATGAGTAGAACTGTCTTAACTCAGACCTTCGTGAACCTTTGGAATTCTCTACCAAGACTGGCAAAGTCATGAATGACAGACAGAAAAAAATGAAAGAAAGAGAGAACGGAAGATTTCTAAAGGAGTCAAAGGAGATAGGGAGACAGCAGGAGTATGATCAGAATCAATGGGCTGAATGGCCTACTCCTTCTGTTATATGCTATGTTTCTATGAGCCACACTTTAAAACTATCCATTAAGCAGTGGGGTTTGTTCCCTGGACACCCTTCTTTTTTGCTATGAACAACATTTTTTACTTGCTGTAATCAAAGTGTGTGCATGAAATATATTAATAACATCAACTGCATTGCTCAGTAAACTTCTGTGCAAGAATAAACACATATAGTATTTGTGACGCAATAGTCCTGAAACCTTTGAGTGGTAGGAATTTTCCTCTGCACATGCAATCAACCCAGAGTTATCCCTTATTCTATAGTCTGCCATTTTTTCATAAGCAACTTTGCTAATCTAATTTTTCACAAAACCAATCATATTCTCCTGTAGAAACAAACTTGGGTGTAAATATTCATTGTAGTACTCCTGACACATTTGCATGTTCTGCACACAGTTTGGAATATGGATGTGTACAGGTACCACAATTTCTTTCCACTATTTACTTCCTCTTGTGCGTCTTACAGTTATAATGAAATTGTCTCTAAAACACTTTGTACTCGACCAACAAGTGAAGCCTCACCATTTCACTTTCAGTATCCAGTGCTGAAGTAGCTTCATCCAAGAGGAGGATCTTGGGATTTCGGACTAAGGCTCGAGCAATGGCAACACGCTGTTTCTGACCTCCAGACAGCTGGGTGCCCTTGTCTCCTACACACGTACTGTATTTCTACATAGATTAAATAAAATAACAACATTAGTGACCAACAATTTTAGGAAGTACTGAATTTTATGATGTTTGTATAGATTCTTCTTTTTTTACTTGCACTGTCTATAAGATCGTAAGATATAGGAGCAGAAGTAGGCCATTCAGCCCATCAAGTCTGCCCTCCCATTCAACAAGATCATCACTGATCTGATAACCCTCAACTCACTTTCCTATCTTTTCCCGATAACCCTTGATTTCCTTAGCCATTAAAAATCTGTCCATCTCGGCTTGAATATACTCAATGACTCAGCCTCAAAAGCCTTCTGGAGTTCCACAGATTCACCCTCAGAAGAATTCCTCCTCATCTCTGTACTAACCAGGAGATGTCTTAATCTGATGCTATACTCTCTGCTCCTCGACTCTCTCTCAACATCTACCTTGTCATGCACCTCCACCACCCCGCCCAAGAATCTTACAAAGAATCTTATATGTTTCAACACGTCTCATTCTTCTAAACTCCAATGAGTACAAACCCAACCTACACAACCTCTCCTCATTATACAATCCCTTCATACCCTGGATCAACCTTCTGAACCTTCCCTGGACTGCTTCCAATGCCAATATATGCTTCCTTAGATAAGGGAACCAAAACTACTCTCAATATTCCAGGTGTAGCCTATCTTGTGCCACGTATAGTTTTAGCAAGACTTGCCTATTTTTAATTTCCCTTTGAAATAAAGGCCAAGGTTTTATTTGTCAGCTATTGCCAGCTGTACTTGGATGCTAGCGTTGTGTCATTTATGGATGATGACTCCCAAATCCCTCTGTTCTGTGGCCTTTTGAAGTCTTTCTCCATTTAAATAACATTCAGCTCATCTATTCTTCCTGCCAGTGAAAACCATACATTTTTCCACATATATTCCTTCTGCCAAATTTTTGCCCATTCGATTAACCTGTTTATATCATCCTGCAGACTCTACCATCCTCATCACTTGCCTCCTACTTGTTTTTATGTCAATCATGAACTTAGCAATAGTACATTCACTTTCCTCATCCAAGTCATTTTAAATAACCTGTGCCATGATTAACTGCACTCTATTACATTTTGACATTAATTGAATATTTCTGACATACAAAATTATAAATAACTTCATATTTGCATGCATGAAATGATCCTTATTCAGAATACTGTGGTACTGCAGAGAGCGATGACCTGACTCAGAACATAAAGCCTGTTGCAGCAGATGAAGAGAGGTCATTGGTGATGGTTTAACCCGAGGGTCATGACGCCTCAGGTATGAAGGGACGTTGAGAATAAGAACTCTTTCGTGATAATCTCAACTGGTGGCAGTCTGAATCCACTCTGTATCACAAAACAGCTAGTCAGCCAAATGAGCTAACCAACTTTCAATGTAGCAGGTAATACGGAATGTTATAGAAAAAAGAAATAAAGTTCCTTACCAAGCCAACACAGTGCAGAGCTGGAGGAGCACAGCAGACCAGGCAGCATCCTTCTTCGTTTTCTGAAGCAGGGTCCCGACCCAAAACGTCAACTTTCCTGCTCCTCTAATGCTGCCTAGCCTGCTGTGTTCATCCAGCTCCACACGGTGTTATCTCTGACTCCAGCATTGGCAGTTCTTACTATTTCGAAGTTCCTTACCTGTCCACTGATAGGGCTGCATTCTCCCTGTGCCACAAAGATAAGTTGGGAGACAGGACTGGGTGGTTAAAGTTGCAAAATAGTCTGACATATTCCCACCTAAACAGAAATCGTCCAGAGATGGGTTCAACAAGACAAGGTCTACATGATAATAGGGAACAACCCATTAAGCCTATCAATTTGGGGATTGGGGAAATGTTTCAGTGCCACTGGGATCTTTCTGATGATGGGTAATTTTCCCCCTCCCACCATCTTATTGGAGGCAAACTGCAGTCACTTCCTGGCAGTAAACCAGGCTACTTGAAGAACATCAAAATCTTCTCTCAGTCACCTCAGCATAGACTCACTGGGGCGTGACGTTTATAGTAGTATCATGGCCATCCATTGTAGGGGTTCTGCCTCCATCTCGATGGGCTGGCAACTGGGGCAATGCATGAATTTTTAAAGTGCTTATTATTTTACAGAAAGGACTTTCATGTTGAGTTGCCTGCATTGTCTCCAGCCTGCAACGTCCACCCTCTCCTGATGAAGCTACAGTTCAGACATCACTGTATATCCTCCTACTTGGCTCCCTGGCCTGTCCACTGCCCTTAATTGGTCAGGACTGCCAGAGGCAGCTTCTTAATTGGGTGCATTTGAGAAGAAGACAACCGACTGGGGAGGCAAGGGACTGTTAATCCTGAGACGCAGGTAATGTTCTGAGGACCTGCTTTCGAATCCCACACAGGCATTCGAATTCAATCAAAATCTGGCACTAAGAATCTAATGATGACTAGGAATCCATTGTTGAAAAAACTCACTATTGTCCTTTAGGGAAGGAAACTGCCGTCCTTACTTGGTCTGGCCTACATGTAACTCCTGACCCACAGCAATGTGGTTGACTCTTAACTGCCCTCTGGGCAATTAGGGATGGGCAACAAATGCTGCCTAGCCAGCAATGCCTTCATCCTGTGAATGAATAAAAAAAAGCCTTTCCACGATTACTTCTGAGTTCCCAACCTAAAATTGATGCCAATTTTGTGATTTTTTTCCCCAGTTGGATCACACCAGCCCAAGACATGTGAAAAACTACTGCAAAGGAATAAAGTAAGGAACGCACATCATTCTTCAGCTGGTGGATATCATTTACCCTACTCATTGATTGAATAAAAATATTTGTTTTTTTGCTTGATCCCTAATCTCATGGTGGGGACCGACAACATTGAGAACAGGCAGCTGATCTTTAGATTAACATGTGCTTCTCTCCCTCACTTTGGATAAACAGGCTGTTCTATTCATGTTTCATTAATGAGTTGCTGCAAGCTGATATGAATGCAATCATGCAGAAATTTACCTGAGGCAGAGTTTCAATAAACGCATGTATGTTTGCTGCTTTGGCTGCAACCTCTATCTCCTCCTGGGATACAACTCTGCTGTTGTCTCCATAGGCAATGTTCTCAGCAATACTGCAGTCAAACAAAACAGGTTCCTGGGACACAATACCCATCTGTGCCCGAGCCCACTGAACATTGAGATCCTTCACATCATGCTCATCTAAAAGCTGGAGAAAAATTATTTCAATAATCAGTGCTGTGTTGCATTGTCACACTGAAGTTGATGTACACTGTAGACACAGGAGTATGAAAAGATGTTCAAACTAAGGCTCTATAGTAATTCCAGGGCAAAACAACATATGGCAATTTGATTATTAATGGCTATCACATACACAGGACGGCAACAAGGAAAGACACTGAACTCTGCAACAATATTAGCAGACACTTCCTACAGGTGCAGGTGTTGAATAATACCGTGACAAATACTGACTGATCATACATAAATAAAATGGCTTTGCTATTGCATATTTTCACTTGTTGCAAATAAATATCTTCACATTATCCTCATTGAGAGAGCAGAACAAGATAACCAACCACGTGGCCAATAATGTGGGAGCTGTTAGTGCACAATCTATGAGTATTCAACTATCTAAGCGGGGCCAGTTCTGTAACTGAAAATATCAAATTCTATTAAATTTTTCTCATATAGGATTGAATTCTGTACTTCAGTTAATTTTTCTGTGAAAATACAACCCATGGTCTTTTCAATGCTGTAATTAATCTGTATGTCTATCCTCACTTCCTCAAATAATAGAATTTTAAGAAATAATTGGCAATATAAATAGTTTAAAAATTGTTGTCACGTACAGATATTTAGAGGTGTGTGTTACTTGTACTGCAATGTGTTGCTATTTTATAAGGTTCTCAAGTTTGAAAAGTCATATTTTTCTACAGGAGAACAAATACTTTCAAATGCCAGAGGAAAATGAGGAATAACATCACTACCTTCTCGTTGTTTAAGATATAAACACTCCCCACCCCTGCTCACTTCCTGAACTGTATTGTTTATCAGCTTCAAAGAGTTGGTTTTGTAAAAATGCATAAGCATCTATTCCCAGTGTTTCACAAACATCAGTATTAATTCTCAAACATGTTTCACATGTTTAGTGCAACAATCAGAATTTCATGTACCACTACATCTCAGTTGAAAACATCACTGTTAAAACTCTAACCCTTTCCATTGTGCCTGCCAAGATGGGAATTCTGAAGAATATGAAAAGACAGGCACAGATTTAAAATTATAACTTCAAATGTATTGGTTTAAACACCATTCAGCATACACTCTGGATGAGGACTTCAATGTCCATCATGAAGAATGACTTGGTAGCTCCAATACTGACTGAGCTGGTTGAGTCCTGAAGGATATATTAAACAAACTGGTGCATAGGAACTGGTGAATGAACACATTAAAAAAAAAACTCCTTGATCTGCCTTTTGCCAATCCACCGCTCCCACATGCATCTGCTATGACAGTATTGGTGGCAGCAATCACAACACAATCTTTATGGAAACTAAGTTCAGTCTTTGCAGTGAGGACATTGTGCGGTGTGGTATTGCCCCTACACTAAATGTGATCCGTTCAGAACAGATCTACAACATAGCTGTGAAGCACAGTGGGGCATCAGAATCTCAAAATTCTATTCCACTACAATCATATAGCATCAGCCAACCTATAATCCAGTGCAGTTACTAACCCTGGTTCAAAGAGATGTTTTAGAGTAGAATGCCAGGAGCAGCACCAACCATACCTAAAAATATGCAAAAACCTGCCGAAGCTACCACACAGGATGACATGCTATCCAAAGCCAGAGTTAAGCAATATCACAAACAACAGATTAGGTCAAACCTCACCAGTTGCAAATGTTGGATGACAGTGAAGCAACTAACCAGAGAAGAAGGTTCTATGACCATCCCCATCCTCATGGCAACACAGACACCGGCAAGCTCCCCACAAGGTTACCTACCATCCTGATTTGGAAGCAATTGTTGGTGGCACAAAGTCCTGGATAGCCCTCCCTGTACAAGTAGCTGCTCCACAAGAATGTCAGCAGTTTAAGAAGATGGCACTTTGTCAAGAGATGGGCAATAAATGCTTCCTTGGCCAGCGATATCCACATTTCATAAAGGGCTTAAAAAAGTGAATTCACTTGTAAAGTTACCTCGCAAAATGAACAGAACTGATAAACCTGAAGATATTCTTTAGATTGAGGGGTCAGTTTCATGGCAAGACTCCCTCCTGCCCACACGTCTATGTCAGTTTTTTCACCTGGACATGGGCTAGAATTGGTAATATCATTTGCTGCTCAGGGGAAGGTAAATAGAGTAGTTGCAGAGAGTTGGACAAATTACAGGGACCTATGAAATAGAACACAGCAATCTCAAAATGACCTAAAGAGTATAGAAGGGAGAAAATACTGGGGACTGAGAGCAGTTCCTGAGGATGGAAGAACCTGAAGCAGTTTTTATAGTTTCCACTATCTCAAGACTTTTACACATTACAAAATGGGTTTAATGACCTCACTAGGATGATCAATGTGTTGAGACACTGAGCACTGTTTAGTGTCTGAAATTCTTCAAGTTAATGATGTCACCCTGAGGAAGGTTCAGAAAATTGTCGTGGTCAGGCCTCATTTGAATACTTCCACTGAAATGAAATCAGCACTGACAGAAAGATCACCAATTGAGAAAATTCTCTTGTGAAACTTTGACTATCACGTGTTTCTCATCACCTCTGTGAAAACCTTCTTAGTCAATAAAACCAAATGGTTGTTTTCTCTTTGGTAATCTGACTCCATTAGGAAGAAAATTGCATATCTCATTAAAGTCAGCATCAGTGAGTTTCTCTCTGCAATGACAAGGTGATGTCTGACTAATACACAACAGGTCATCAAGTGCTACCTGAGAGATTCAGTTTCACATAAATTCAAAGCTGTGGTGACTTTAGCTGCTTTTGTTTAAATACTGCACTGGAGTTTGATGGCCATGGAAGGTACATTCATAATGTGGTCAAACATGTTGATTATCAACTTGCAAATCCTTCCATTGCACCAATGATAGGCTATAAAAATGCGAATATTTCTTGGTCAGCCAGAGCCATATGGTAGTTGCAGTACAACAGCCTCCCCATTTTAAAAGACTCCATGCAGAAGTTCTTGCTCCGGGCTATATTTCATTTTATTGGTAGATTAAAATTACAGCGATGGATTCCTAGAACATGTTCAAAACTGACATCCATGGTGAAAAGTTGGGATCAATCAAGCCAGCTTTCACTCTGAAGTCTCACTTTGCCCAATATTAACATTAGCTGAGATCACAAGAGGTGGTTTGTAGGTTCAGTAGTGAAATTGGACCCAGCCAAGTCCAAAATACTATGGTGGGACAGATTCAGATGTTAAAGGCTCTTGTGACAGTGATAGCGTCCCTACCTCCAAGCTAGGAGGCCTGGTTCAAATTCCACCTGCTCCAGAGGTGTGTTATAACATCTCTGAGCATGTTCATTATAAAATACCAAGAATCAGATGTTTGGTGACAATGGCAGGGCTCTGGGAAGGAAAGATCCAATTAAATCTTTTTGGACTGTATTTGAAGTGTTGGTCTGACTCATGAGCTCATGAGTCATGTTGCTCAGTGCAGAGTACCAAAACTGCCCGTAAAATAAGGGAAATTCTAACAAAAATCCAGATCAAAGTTTCCATAAGCCCAGCTTTCCTGCAGTTTGTGTAACATGTGAAAGATGATTCTATTGGTCAGGAGAAATATGATCTCGATCACTTACCACTCTTCCATGTAGTGGGTCATAGTACCTCTCTAGCAGCTGTACGGTGGTGCTTTTCCCACAGCCACTGTTACCCACTAGAGCTAAGGTTTGTCCCTTCCCAACTGAAAGCGTCAAACCTTGCAACACTATCACATCAGGTCGAGTAGGATAGTTAAAGCCAACATCTTCGAACTTCACTATTCCTTCAAAAGATGCCTTTTTAAAAAAAAATAACAATTAATACTGTCTCAAGATGCACACATTTCCTGAATTACATTTGTAAAAATGTATCTTTCCGACGATCAGATGTTTATTTATACTATTAGAAAACAGGAATATATTAGACAAGACAGAAGTTTACACACTGTCACACAAATATTTTACCAGAACATCTGTGCTCACATTTTTGTGATTAAACAGTCAGAACCTATTTTTAGCCCTCAAGGTTTCGACTGTGAAGAACTTTTTGAGTTCAAGTGTTCCTGGCCAAATCCAACAAAATAGAATTGATCCCAATGAAAGGAATGCTCAATTCTTAAATTGTTAGAGTAAAGTCAACTTCACAAAAATAACATGAGCAGATTATACCAGCAGCCCATTAACCCATCTTTTATGTCCCTACTCATTTCCATAATATAAACTGTACATGATGGAAACACTTTGCAGGTCTGACAATATTGACAGAGAGAGAAATGGAGTTAATATTTCAAGTTATTGACCTTTTGCCAGAACGTGAAAACGTTACTAATGTTAAGAAGTTTTAAGCATGTTAAGTCATTAACCTGCAATGTTAAAACTGTTTCTCTTTCTTTCAAGCTGCTGCGTGAACTATTAAGCATATCCAACTGTTTCTGTTTAATTGTCAGGTTTCCAGCACTCAAAGTATTGTGCTTTTGTAAACATATCTATTGTTAAATGTTATATATTTGTCTAGACTCCTGGAAGCTTACAAACATTTCTGACCTCATAATCCAAACAAATGAAATTGTTGCTGCATAGTTTTGGTAAATTGTTTTGTGGGAAGTTGCTCCTGAATTATCCAAGATTGAAGCACTTCAGAGACTTACATTTCCTAATTTTTACAGTGAAATACTTACAGGAACATGACCACTTTCACTGTAGCTGTCTATAGATGGTGTTTGATCAAGCAGCATTCTGATGTGAGCTGCTGAGACCTTGGCCTTTGCATAGTCAGGTGCAAATGAGCTTGTCTGCCCCAAAGCCATAGCTCCAAATACAATTGCTGAGAATACACTGAAATGGTTACAAATTAAATTAAGCAAAACACAATTTTAATTTAGTCACATGCCAACATTTATAAAAGTATTTAGCAAATTGTCATACACTACATAAACATTTCATTGCAACATCCGAACTATGTATCAGATGTAAACATGTTGTAAAATAACAGTCTCTTACAAAATGCATTTAATAGATGGCGCACTGGCAACAATAGGCTACTTGTTACAAATTTATTTATAAACAGAAATGTAGTGATTGGCGGATCTTATTAACTATGAGATCCTTGACCAGGGTTGCTAACCTGGGCCAATTAGGGAGCCCTAGCTGACCAATATAAACAGAGGGTTCAGACTCTCCTCACTTCAGGGAACTGACTCGGAGCTGGCTGGCCACAGGCAATGTACCGTGCACAGGTAAATAAAGGGTGACTTGGTGACGGGATACAAGCCTCTGTGCAGTTATTTCAAGAAAGGTGCTAATTATACCAGTGTACAATAACAGCAGACAACATTCAGAATGTCTCTTTTCACATCCTCACCAGTAATCTTCAGCAGTCACCAGGAAGACCATTACAGTTACTTAAGGACATCTTGCCCTGAACTCAGGTCAGTGAGGAACAGAGAAGCTGAGTCTTCCTTCTTAGTAGTGCTCCACACAACAAACAACAAGAGGGAGAGAAACTAACTGAACATAAAAAAAGGCAAAAGCACAAAAAACACACAAGGAAGAAAATATTTAGAACAGTGATAGGTAGATACTTTGAGGAAAAGACAGAAAGAAAAATGAGAAAATATTGGACACATCTGATAGAATTATATTGGATGGAAATTACAAAATGGAAACAAACCATTCAGTCCAACCAGTCCATGTTAGTTTATCCTCTATATAAGGAGTGGTTGGAGTCCCATCTTCTTACTCTGTTTTCATATCCCTTTACTTACTTTCATCTGACCAACTATATAAGCTATTCTTAAATTTTGATAATGTCTCTGCTTCAATCATTAACTCTGGTAATGCATTACACAGCCTCAAAACTATTTCTCCTCTGTTCTAGATTGCCTACTTTTCATTTTGAATCTCTATCCTCAATTATAGCAAGTGGTCTATTTCAATCTACCCTGTTCCATTCTGTCATGTATTAAAGATTCCTATCAAATGCCCACATTCTCCTTCATTGCAACACGAATTTTAAAGATTACATGATGGAAGGGAAATCCATGTCCTTGTGCACCAGCTACTGAAGGTAAGCACGCAGGTGCAGTAGGCGGTAAAGAAGGCAAATGGTATGTTACCCTTTATTGCGAGAGGTTTCGAGTACAGGAGCAGGGATGTGTTGTTGCAGTTATACAGGGCCTTGGTGACACCACACCTGGAATATTGTGTGCACTTTTGGTCTCCTTTTCCGGGAAACAATGGTCTTTCTCTCGAGAGAATGCAGCGAAGGTTTACCAGGCTGATTCTGGGGATGGTGGGTCTGATGTATGAGAAGAGATTGACTAGGTTAGGATTGTTTTTGCTGGAGTTCAGACAAATGAGGAGGGGGGAGGGGGATCTCATAGGAACTTGTAAATTTTTAACAGGACTGGACAGGGTAGATGCAGGGAGGATGTTCCCGATGGTGGGTGTGTCCAGATCCAGGGGTCACAGTCTGAGGATTCAGGGTAGACCATTTAGGACGGAGATGAGGAGACATTTCTTCACCCAAAGAGTGGGGAGCCTGTGGATTTGGTTACCACAGGAAGTAGTTGATGCCAAAACATTGAATGTATTCAAGACTAGCTAAAGCACTTGGGACAAATGGGATCAAAAGTTATAGGGAGAAAGCAGGATTAGACTACTGAGTTGGACGATCAGCCATGATCATGATGAATGGTGGAGCAGGCTCAAAGGGCTGAACAGTCTCCTCCTGCTCCTATCTTCTATGTTTCTACATAATGCCTTCCCTTCACACAGAACCTTCTTTAAATAAAACAGCACTCTACTTACCCCTCTGTTGTTAAGAGGCTGCTTTCATGCAAACAAATGCCAATGGCCTGGTGAAGGGTAAAGTTCCTGATGTCAGGATATAGTTGGGGAGTCCATCCTTCATGGCTCCGCCCCGCCCCCTCCAATATTATCAAAGCCTGCCCCCACTTTGACCCTACCTCATGAGGGGCAGTAAATTTCTTCCTGTTGTCTGTGTACTGAGTGATCACAGCAATCATTTATACTTACAGGAAAACATCCCGGAAAACCATGTAATTATTTGTCACCAGCCAGGCCCCAAATCGAAAACATGCTGCATAAGCAAAGTAGAGAATCGCTTGTGAAATTGCAGAGGTGACTCCATAAACATGAGCCTTCTTTATTGAATTCCTTCAGAAAAAAAATGAAGTGCGTTTAATGACAATTCTGCTGCCCACCACAAAAGCATTGTAAAAAGAATATTAAACCAATACACCCATGAGATTGAGGTGGAGACTGCAGGGATCACAGAGTGCCATTCTGATCGAGGCTCCACCAGTCACCATTTAACTCAGCACTTTATTTTTTAAGAACTTGTATGGAATATCAGAGGATGACCATAAGGTTCCTCAAGTCTGCTCCACCAATCAATCCACTCAAAGCTGATCATAGATGTGAACTCCAATTTATCCCTGCCCTCTACATGCCTTGATTCCCCAAATGACTAAAACCTGCCTGTCTAAGCCTTAAATGAGCCTGAGAGAATTTTGGCTTGGCTATCTAAAACTGGTAATACACCTGAATTCTTTCTGGTATGAATAGTATTTGCCTTATTCAGCCCTAATCATGATCTTTTCACTATTAAACAGAAGTGATTGCCAACTAAGGAAGTCTGACTGTTTTTACCTGGAAGGAATTTTCATGTTTTCTTCATACATTTCTTCAAACTTTCTTTCCCTTGTTAGAGCTACAACGGTTCTAATGTTTTCGACTGCCTCCGCAGCAATCTGTTTAAAAATGGAGAAAACAACAATTTCAAGCAGAGCAGAATTTAGAGAGCTGTTTACAACACAATAAGAATTTTTAATTCATGGGTGTCAAAACGCCAATCTTGAAACTCAACTTCTCCCATCAACTTTGAACGTTAACCTTGACCTGGTTGACTACATAGCTATTACTAGGATTCCTTTCTGGTAGACCAAAAAAGCAGTAACACTGATGAAGACTTTTGGAATAAGACATTCCAAAGTAACACTGTCCAATTTAAAAGGCTTGATTTTAATAATAGTTCAGTAAACTTATACAGTTTGGAAGTAAAGGGGACCAGGTAAGGTGAGGACAGGCAGTCAGCATCATTCAGATGAGTGAGTGAAGAGAGGACCCTCGCAGATAGGCAGATAGACTTACAGCAGACAGGAGTAGAACTTGGGAAATAAATGAGAACAAGATTTTTCTAGTCTATACCTAAGCAGAAGCAAGGATAAAATAAAAGCAAATGATCCATATTCTAATTAATAAAAGTATTTCTGGGGTGCTCAGGCTTTCCTCCACATTAGGGAAAATCCTAGGCTCTTCTGGCAGTCTGGAATACCCTATGTGCAGGAAGCATCATTTTTAAAAATGTTCATTGAGGGGTTGTGGGGGCATTGCTGACAATGCTAGCATTTACTGCCCATCCCTATTTGCCCAGGGGGCAATAAAGAGTCAACCACATTGCGAAGGGTCTGGAGTCACATATAGTCCAGACCAGGTAAAGATGGCAGTTACCTTAAAGGACCTTAGTGAACCAGATGGGTGTTTCCCCCAACAATTAACAGTGATTTCATGGCTATCATGAGCTTCTTAATTAGATTTTTAAGAAAAAAATAAATTAGACTTTGTTTTATTGAATTCAAATTTCACCATCTGACAAAGCAGGATTTGAACCTGGGACTCCAGAACATTATCTAAGTCTCTGGGTTAACAGTCTAGCAACAATACCATTAGGCCATCCCATCTGGCTGAAGCAACTTGATGTCCACATTTTGGAGCTTGAACAGCAGCAAGGTCATCACACTGCATTCATCAGGCTGGGAGGCTTGTGGATAGGACATTTCATTACATGGAAGGTGAGGTGGAAGAAGGATGTGGGGTAATACTGCTACAGGATGCCTTGGGGATGGGAGTACACAGATGCTTCTGCAACTGTAGATGTGAATCAGGGATATGTTGCCTCCCTAGTGGCCGGGTAAGGGACATTTTAGAAAATTAGACAGGAAATTGACAAGTGGTACTTCACAAGGAGCCATTTCCTGATTACACCTGATGCCATGCTGGAGTAAATATAGGAATAGAAGAATACTATGTATTTTCTTGAATGCATGGCTGGAGAGATGGTGCAGGAGGGAAGGGTTTATTTCCTGAGGCATTGGGACCATTTCTGGGAGAGGTGGAATCTATACAAGTTGGACTGATTACATATGAACTGGAATGATATCATTCTTACAGCAAGTTTTGCTAAAGCTGCTGGGATGAATTTAAATTGGATTGGCAGGGAGGTGGGATCCTGACAAGTAGTTCGGGGGGAACGAAGCCGAGATGGAATCAGAAGTTAAAACCCAAGAAAGTGAGTCCAGAAGGGAGGAAAAAACACTGGCTAAATAAAAAAAGAAGTGATTTTAGCAAGTCTAATGCAAGAACCTCAAGAATAAGATAGATGAGTTGAGGGTACTGATAGGCACACAGGAGTATAATATTATAGCAATGACCAAGAGCTAGCTGTGAGATGGGCAGGATTGGCAGCTCACTGTTCCTGGTTAGAGGATATTCAGATGCAATAAAGAGAGGGATAGAAAAGGATGAGAGCTTACTATAAGGTGCACAAATGAAGTAGAGAGGAGAGTTGAAGAGGATGGATGTTGCATTACTGTGATAATGGAATCAATTTTTTTGTAGTCAGGAGCAATGATATTATCAAAGAACCAAAAAACACAAAAGGGCAAACATTCTGTTTCCTGTGTGCAGTATGCCCCAAAACAGTCAGGAAGAGGTACAGCATCAAATGTGTGATAAAATTTCAGAGAAGTATAAGAATGGTAAGTCAGTAATTGTTGATTTTAACGACCCAAATATTAACTGGGATACTTTTAGTTTGCAAAGTAAGGAGGGAACAAAATTCTTAAATAGCATCCAGAAGATTTTATTCAGTTGGTACGTAGAAAGCCCAACAATGGAGGGGACAGTTCTGAACCTAATATTCAGAAATGACACTGAGCAGGTGGAAGCAGTAACAGTAGGGGAGCATTTTGAAGAAAGTGACCATAACTCAGTTATATTTAACATTGTTATGGAAAGGGATAAGGATGGGCTGGGAGTAAAAGTTCTAATCTGGACAAAGGGTAATTTCACTACAATATGAATTGGTCCAAATCGATTGGAATCAGGGACTTGCAGTGTTAGAAAAGTTTAAGCCATTCAAGGAGGAAATAGTGAGAGTGCACGGCAAATGTGTTCCTGTAAAGAAAAAGGGTAGGGCCAAGTGCAAAGCACTCTGGATTTCAAAGGTCATAAGGGTAGAATTAAGAAAAATAGAGAGGCTTATGACATCTACCAAGGGCTTAGTAACAGATTCTTTAGAAGGAGTATATCAAATGCAGGGCAGAACTTAAAAAGGAAATTAGGAAAGCAAAGACATTGTATGAGAAAGCATTTGCGGGGAGAATAATGGAAACCCAAAGTTTTTTTTTTTAACATATAAAAAGCAGTAGAATAATCAGGAAAAGAGTGTGGCCCATTAGGGACCATACAGGTTATCTGTGTTTGGATGACCTGGGCACAGTTCTCAATGAATACTTTGTTGGTTTTCTGAGTGGAAAAGGACTTCACAGCTATAAACATCAGGGTGGAGGGCAGTGAAATATTAAAATACTAACATTGAGAGAGTGGAGGTACTAGAAGGTTTAGCAGCCTTAAAAGGGAGGTAAGTCTGCAGCCTGGGTGAGGTGTATCCAGGCTGTTGAGGGAGGCAAGGGAGGATATATCAGGGGTTCTGGCAGCAGATTTGAAGATCTCTTTGGCCATGAGTGAGGTGACAGTGGACTGCAGAACTGCTAATATTGCCCCATTATTCAAGGAGGAAGGAATGGACCAGGAAAATTACATCTAACCTCAGCGGCAGGAAGATATTAGAGAGCTATATCTGCATTTGGACAGACACAGATTAATCAGGGATAATCAGCAGGGATAGTTAAGTGAAGGCCATGTTTGACAAACTGATCAGAATTTTTGAGAAGGTAACCAAGAACATTGATGAGGGAAATGATTTGATGTGGTCTACAGAGACTTTAACAAGGCTTTTGATAAAGTCTCTCATGGCAGTCTGGTCAAAAAAGTGGGATCCAAGGCAAAGTGGCATGTTGGATCCAACACTGACGGAGAGACAAGAAGCAGCAGATGGTAGAAGGACGCTTTTATGGCTGGAAGTTTGCTTCCATCAGGGTTCTGCAGGGCTCAGGTGCTATGGCCCATGCTGTTTGTGGTGTATATTCATGATTTGTGATTTCTTAAGATCCATCCTACACTTCCTGTACTCCATTAGGGCCTCTGTTGATTTGCTCCCTTTGTACCTGATAAAAGCCTCTCTTTTCCTTCTTATCCAGTCCTGAATATTCTTAGACATCCATGTTTCTCTGGGCTTGTTGCTCCTACATTGGAACATGTTGGACCTGTGCTATCACCAATTCCCTTCCGAATGCCCCCCCTCCCCCACCACTGTTCTGCTGTAGATTTACCCAGAAGAAGCTGTTCCAAGTCTATTCTGGCCAGATCCTGCCTTATTCTATTAAAATCTGCCCTCCCCCAATTTAAAACCCTATTTCTTACAGACCATCTTTACTTCTGCTCCTTTTTCATATGCTCGTATCAGTAACATATAACCTCAGGGAGAATGCAAGACGATAGACGGTAATCACAGACCTTGAGGCAGCGGCTGGGGGAGCTCACTCTGGAGTGAGGGTTTAGCCAGCATGTTTCCTGAGGCCTGAAAACTTTATCAGGCAGGGTTAAATTTCAAAGAGTGAACACAAATGAGACACACAGTCTTATTATAATATTTAAAACGCTAACCTGTCTCCGAGGAATGGGTTGATCATCAAGCAAAACTTGGTCCTACCTCGCTTACAACCAGAAGTGGGAGTCTTGGAGGTCAGGACTTTTTTTTAAACCCTTTAATTCTGTTCCCTCCTACCCAATGCAAACCTTTTCTTTATGGCTAATGTGTCCCTTTCTGTGTTTCTATGCGCGCACTGGTGTAAAAATGATTGCGACTACATCCTGTGATTAACATTTCATCTGGAAACAACATGTTATTTACTGCTCTTGCTGTAAAAGTAAATATCAGGCATCTGGAATACCGGCACTGGAGACAGTCCAGATAAGGTACACTAGCTGATCCTAGGCATGCAGGGACTGTCATTTGAGGATAGGCTGGACTCGTTGGAATATAGAAGAATGCGAGGACCTTACTGAAGCATACAAAATCTTAGGGGACTTGACAGGACAGATGCAGAAAAGTCATTTCTCTTTGTGGGAAACAAAGACTTGAATCATTTCAAGGAAACAGTGAGTTATAGGGAGCAATGTGGCCACACGTAAAGCTTGGCCAGGAGAAGAACGGATCCCTCAGCTAAAGAACTCTCAATGTATAGGTTGCAGGAGATCATGGTCAGGGTTTGAGAATCTATGCTTTAAGGAGGATCTCCAATGAGACCCAGGTGTCAGTTAAGGAAGGAACATCCTGCCTAAGTCTGCACAGCAAAAACAACCACACAAGCTGCATGGTGTGAGCCTCTCCAGCTTCTGGTTAAATAAGGTGGTGAAGTTGGCATCATTTGCCCTTTAAGAACTTCAATTGGTCCACTGGACAGCATGCCAACTGATGCCACCCCCACTGCTGTTATAATTACATTGGAGGCCAGGGGTAGGCAGGAAGGTGGAATACAAGCCACCTGCTGTATTCAAACCCGCAGGTAGTGGAGTGCCACATTTAATCCCAAGAGCTCAAATCAAAATGCTATCAAATGCCGTCTATCCCCCCTGAAAATCACTCACCTTTCCTGCTTTCTCAAGTTCCAACTTGTCCTTGTTGGCATGTCCAGTGAACATTCTCATTTGTATCAATCCTGCTAATGCCAAGATTGGCACAATAGCCAAGATCAATAGTGTCAGCTGCCAGCCATAGACGAAGGAAATAATAACTGAACATCCTAAATTAGCTACATTCTGTGAAATCAAACCAAGTCTGATACCCGTAGCCTATGTAAAGACATGAACAGAGAAAATTCTTCATTAAAAATAATTTTAGAAAATAACCTCCATATTCTCTTCAATATTTGCACTTGTGTTAATTGCCCAACATTTAATAAAGCTTTATGCAGCATTTTGGGATTAGTTTTATGCTTGATGAGAGGTTTGAAGTATGTTGTTTACAGAATGCTTTGGTTGAGTTGAAATAATTTAAAAAAAAATATAGGTACATTGTATGTGATATCTATGTGAAACTTCTAAGGCAGAAACTGCACATAATACATTCATAATATTTTCAAACATTAATATTTTTTCTATTAGGAGGCCATAAACAAGCCTGGAGTCACTCTGGAGCATTTGTTAAAGAGGTCTGATTTACAAAATAAGATACTTTAAGTACTTAAGATATTTTAAATAAATATTTAACTTTAATGTAAAAGATCATATCAAATTTGATCATCTAATTATACAATATTTGATACAAAGTTTTTATTAATTGGGACCTATGGAACCAGAGTGTGTCAATTGATCAAATATTCCAGTTGATCAAGAGGTCCACATAACGTAAAAACACAAAGTAATAGAAACGTAATGCAGGGATATACACATCACAGTTATACTTTATTTACACCATAAATCACTTAAATAATAATACAACTTTGTCTTAAATAAAAAGTACCAGCAGAGAGCCTTTCCCCTCACACACTTAACTGACTACTGACATCGCAGAGATCACCATAACACAGTAAACTGCCAGTATTTGAGGTAAATAAATTTTACTGGTTTATCAAGAGTGCCAGTTTATAATGTGCTCGTTAAAACAAAGTTTGCTGTTTCCAAATATTTTTTCTGATTACAAACAGGATTATGTAGAATCTTACCTCTCTTAAATCACTGATATATTTATTTGGTTTAAGAATTAAATCAAAGACATTTTTGGAATATGGGGCAATAAAAAGGGACTAACTGGATTGCATTCTGAAAGAAGTGGTGCAGAGCTGATGGTACATGGTCTTCCTCTGATTTGTACTAGACTATGATTCTGTCACGTTATTTACTATAATTCAATTAGATTTCATTACAGTTTTTGACTCCTGTGATGGGTAGGGATGGTCAAAACCTAATGGCACTGGCAGATACATACCCCCTTAACTTGAGATGCATCAGTAGCAAGTCTGGTAGTCAATGCTCCAGTGCTGTTCTTTGAATCATCGAACCAGCTAACATCCTAAAAATATATATATACACACACACACAACACACATATGAATTAACATGTTATATTACATATAAAATGCCATGAGACTGGTGTATAATTACCTGTCTTTTTGGCTTGGCTAAATTAGTACACAATTATTTTGGAACAATATTTGTTAAAATGTTAATTGAAAAAGGAGTTTGTGAATTGCTGTACGGTTATTGAAATTTGATGATTTCTGAAAACCAACTGAAAGGTTTGCTGGAGTCACTTCAGTAAAATTGTGGTGGGTATGTCTCACAACAAATGTCAGTTAACTACTTTTATAAATTATTCTGCCAGGCATTACCGCATTTATTTGCAATTAGTGCTGAATCAGATTCCTATCACAGTCGACTTTGATGAAGACACCAAGCCATTACTGACAGCCTAGAAATTTCAACATTTTATGGCATTGTTGGTACAACAAAAAGCCTCAGAATTATTGGTCATACCTTTTTGAGTCCTCCCTCTATCTCCCCTGCTCCCATTCCCACTAAACTCTGGAGCTCTCTTTCACAAAAGCCAGATGAGTCTTCGGGCGGAATCTTAGAGAGGCCTGAACAGTGCGGGCTATGGTGGGATTTGTAGCAAAATCACATCAGGTCTATCTCTTCATCGGGAGCATCTCACTGTAGCTTTTACATAACTGCCAAGTGGTGAGGTAGGTTTTTCGCTAGGCAACAGCAAGTTGCCAATTCAACTGGATTAGAACTTGTTAAACACTTTAATAATGGTACAACATGACTCATTAATATTCAGGTTCCTACCATAGCACGCACTTTAAACAAGCCAGACGAGAATTCTCAGCAGGGAAACCAGAACGGGTACCTGGCAGCTTCAGCTCGCAGCCATGTCTCAGAGTCTTAAGGAAGTTGCCCTCATCAGAATCCACAGAGGAAGCTGACAGTCAGGGGTTCCCAACACAGTGAGTCAACAGCTACTTCTGAAACCAGTCCAGAGGGGGGCCACGGTCAGGCATCCAGTCAGAGCATTCTCGGTCAGGAGGTCTGTGCCTCTGCATTCTGGGCAGTGGGTCATGGTCAGTTATGAAACCTTATAGCGCCCAGTCCAGGGAGTAGGCCAAAAGTGTCCAGGAAAATGTACAGACATCACCTGAGGGTCTGGACCCTTTTCGTCTGTGACTGTCCAGGTAGGTCACACAAGGAGTTGGGCCACAGTCAGTCCATTAGCTACGTCCAGAGAAACTAAGACATAAAGGGTTTGGGGAAATAGGGGATGGGAAGAAGACTTGGAAATCTTTGGGGGCTGCAAGCTGAGTGGAAGGGGGATGACAACTGTGAAGAGGGAAACTAGATGACAGCAGGGTGATGTGTGATGGTGCTGCACCATGGTAATAAGCACAGTGGTTTTCAGGGAGGGTGCAGTGTATGGCAGCTGGCATGGTTAATTTGTACGCTGGGGGCTTGGGTGGGGAGAGGGGATGTGAGATGTGGGGAGTTGCAAGCTGACACAGACAAGTTGGATGGGAACCTGGGAGATGCAAAGCCTGTGGGGTTTATGGGGATGGATAGCTTCAGCTAAAGGGCAATTATAGATGGACAACAAATTCAGCAACACCCACATCCCATAGAAGGGGAAAGAAAGGAAAAAAGATTCCACATTTATGTTGAGAATACGCAGCCCTAAGTCATTAGCCCTTCTGTAAGTCCGACTGTTTTTGCTGTTTATTTGACATTTGGTCATGAACATGGTGCAATTTTGAGTTAATTATTAGGAAGAACTAAGGCATCAACTTTGGACCCCATTGCAAGTAACAATCACTAATTCCAACCTCCCACTCAGTCACTGTCTCAGGTTGAACCAGACTAATCACAACCAGACAATTCACAGGCCTATCTTCTGACCTCACACCTCGTCCATCACAGAAGTTTAGAGCCTACCTCCACACCTTGCCTCAACTCATTTATTGCTCAAAGGCTCACTTATAGCTTTGATACATCCAGATTTACCTTTTTAATTGCTCTCTTAGACAACCCCCTAACACCCAACTTTGCTGCCTGTATCATATCCAACACAAAATCCTACTCGCAAGCCACTTCTGTGCTTCCTGACCTATATTGATTCAATTGAAAATGTTCTAAAGTTCATTTATGAGCTCAGTTGATGCCATGTTTGTAAAACTTCTGAGTCTTTACTCTCAATAACACTCTATTCCTCCAAACCCGATGAGTCCTCTGAGCAGACAACAGAGTTCAATATTTATACAAGGCAAACATTCAGCCTCATTCTGTTTGAGTGTAAGTTTCAGTAGTAAAAAACAAATGTTAATTCAAAATGTTCACAATTATCATTGGTGTCAATGGTCACAGAGATGTGACAATTAACTTTTCATTGTTGGGCCAAGGTATGGCAGGGATCACAGGAAACACTGATGTTGAGTTACGGTGGTAATTTTTAATGTCATAATTTCCATAAATGTCGGCACTAGATCAGCTAACTGTTACTATAGAACACATTTTTAGGAAATTCTGGAACACTAAATCATGTTGCTTTTATGCACAGATCTCTATTTTTAATATTTATTTCATTTAACAAATATTTCATGTGGCATGTGCTCTTCTGGGCAATGGTTAATGATCTAATGCAGTACCTTAAGCTTGTAAAAGGCAGCCTGTGAAAAGCGCCAAATTTATCTCAGTTCTTTCAATAATCAAATTAAGTTTCAATATTCAATTTGACTCAATTACTGGAAGGTCCAAATGGCCCAATTCTGCTCCTTTATGTTATGGACTATCTTAAAACTGGCATTTTGGGAGGAGCTTCAAGCAATCAAAGAACTGATTTAAGTAATCTGAGCTCCATTCCAGAGCAAGGATATGAAAGGTCATTCTTTTTAACTTAATCAAAAATTAAAAGTCATCAAATACAAAGTTAAAAAAACTATGTACACATTAGAATAATATACAAGACAAATTGTTATCAGTAGATTAAAAGGCCATAAGAAAACAGGAACAAGAGTAGGCCATTCAGTCCCTTGATCCTGCTCTGCCATTCACTAGGATCATGGCTGATCTGATTATAGTTATTTATTGGCCTTTAATTCCCATACTCTTGACTTGTGCTTTGTAGATAATGGATGGGCTTTGGGGAGTCAGTGTTCCTCACTGCAGGATTCCTAGCCTTCATCCTGTTCTTGTAGCCACAATTTTTACATGGCTAGTCCAGTTCAGTTTCTGATCAATGGTAGCCTCCAGGGTGTTGATAATGGAGATTCAGAGATGGTAACACCATTGAATTTGAAGGGAAGATGGTAGGATTCTCTCCTATTGGAGATAGTCATTGCCTGGCAGCACTGTGGTGAAAACATTATTTGCCACTTGCCTGCCTAAACCTGGATATTGTTACGTCTCACTGTAGTTGGACATGGACTGCTTCAACATCTGCGGAATCGTGAATGGTGCTGAACTCTGTAATTATCGGCGCCATTTCCACGTCTGACTTTATGATGGAGGGAAGTTCTGCTGTGAAACAGTTGCTAGTGTACTACTACTGATTTGGCTAAATCCAGTGATGGCAAGGTCTACTGAGTCCAAAGTAAAAACAACTGATTCAACTAACAAAATAAGAATTACACACTGCAAAATAACAAAGGAATGAAGCCAAATATTAATATGTGGTTCCTACCTGTCGCATCATTGCCTTAAAGGCTGAATATCGGAGTCTCATTGTCAGTATCTCTCCAGATTTGCCAAATGTGAAACCCTAAAAAAGGCATAAAGTGGTGTGATAAAACGGAACTATACTTCAAAGGAATAACATAACCATCCAAATTATTTCTGCAGCTGAGTTAACATAGAGATTTTATTGAATAAACATTCCATACAAAAATCAGTGGGCGGTGCATCCTAATTTTATAAATTTGGATTGAATATCATAGAACTTCCTTTTGTTAAAGCTCAGGAAACACGCCTTGTGCTTTCTCCCTGTGTTATTTTTACAGAGGCATTGTCCTAAGTGTGTTCAAAGCTCTAAACAATACATGTAACAAGGAGAGGAGCCTAGCATAAATATGTTAAGCATGCCTGGAAATGTTGAACTCACCCTGGAATTCAATTGAACTCCAAGAAATTACCCAGAACTGGCCTGAATCCCTCTGTAAACACCAAATCTTTAGTAAGTAGAGGTTACTGGGCAGTGGCAGCATGGATGTTTGTCATCCGCCTGTGCACTTGCCAAGTAGCTTGTCTTATCAACTTCTGCCATAAGAGTGCTGCAATACGTTCCAGTGACATTTCATTGGCAGCCTCCAGTGAGGCTTTTATCTCAGACTCTAATGACTTCTTTGATCTATTCCCACACCTGCTTTGTTTTCTTATCTTTTTTGCAGTGATTTGGGATCACTACATAGCTATTCAGGTCTGTTTTGATTATTTTCTTTGCTCAATAACAGAGTAATTGATGAGAAGCCCATCGCAAATTTGATTTCATATAATCAGTGTAGGTTGTCCACATAACAAAACACAACAGAACCTTGCCAAACATAACAAGGACCAGTACAAACCAATACACCTCTATGCCACCAACTCCTTAAAGTGGCCCCATTTTGAGGGCACTACAGCTTCAGGAACACCAAGCAAAAGCAGTGGTTTGCTCGGTGCTTCGAGCCGGTGTGTGTTTTTTTCTTGATACAAAATGGATAAGGCATGAGTTTAGCTCCTGCAGTGTAGAATGCAGGGTTGAATACTGTAATCTGGCTCCAGTCAGCATTCTACTTATTCACAGATATCATTAAACCTTACTTGTAGAAAAAATGTGATGAAGGAGACACCTCCAAGTGCTAGGAATAACAGGGAAAAAAGTGTACTCTGACAGCGAATATGTTCTTTGTTTGTATTAGCAAATACCTGTGTTGGGTAAAAGAAGGACAGTTTAAATGTGATTATTGCATAACAACATATTCAGTAAATTTAGTATGGCAAGAAACAAGGCATTCATGATGTTGTGAAAATAAACTTTGTCTGAAATTACTTTGTCTGAAGTTTCATTTTGGTTATAGATAACAGGATAATGTTTCAGCATGCTGCTTGGAAATGAAACATGGGTTGCACACGTTGCAGAAACAATTTGCACTGATATCAATTGAGGTACAAACTGATTTGTTTCTGTGAAAGGTGTTTGTCCAGATAGCAAGTCTCCTCATTCACGGTGGCAAGAGTTCTTCCTTTGTGGGACAGTTACCCCAAAGACCAATCAAACAACAATCTGATATTGTGTATAAGCTATGATTCCACGAATATGACTAAATCATCAACATCACTGGGAACGTTCTGTCCCACAGACCTGCCAGAGGTGGCAGCACCATGGTATTACAGTCAGTAACAAGTTGTGCTGGGAATCTTCAACATTTGACTCTGGATCCAATGCCATTAAGTCAAAAGTGGACAAGGAAGCCAACAGATGATTACCACTGTCGCCCTGCCTCAGCTAAGTGAATCAGTACTCCTCCATGTTGAGCACTCTCTGGAGGAAATACTGAGGTTGGCAACAGCACAGGCATGCTCTGTCTGAGGAACTTCAATATCCATCACTAAATGTGGCTCACTTCTGCCATGATTTACTGAAGTGGTGAGGCATACAGAATGAGTAGGTGGCACAGAGACCACACATGGTTAAGGGTTTGGGGCTTGGCTGGATGAGACATTACATGAAATAGTGGGAGTGATAGAGCTTGAGCCTTGATGGGAGGTGGCAGTAGTAGTAGAGATGGAGTGAATGTGAGGTACCACAGAGATAATTGTGACACATACCCTCACAGAAAGCAGAATGTGTGAATGTCGTATTGTGCTGAGGAACCATAGAAATGCAGGGAAACTCAATAATAGAACAAACTTAAAGGCTTTGTGCTTTAATGGACGATGCATTCAGAATAAGATAGACAAACTGATGGCACAAATTGAGGTAAATGAGAATAATCTCATAGCCATTATGGAAACATATTTACAAGCAGATCAAAACTTGGAATTTAACATTTGACCTTTTGGAGAGACAGGAGGGATGGAAAAGGTGGCAGGATAGCACTGTTAATGAAAGATGAAATGAGGACAGTTGTGAGAGGTGATCTAGGCTTGAATGATGTAAAGTCCATTTGGGCGGATGTAAAAATCAGCAAGGGAAAGAAAATATTGGGAAGTGTAACGCACAGACCCCCAGACTGTATGGGAAAGACTATAAAATCAACAAATAATAGCAGCATGTAAAAAGAATACAGCAATAATTATGGGTGACTTCAATATTCATGTTGATTGGGTTAATCAAATTTGAAAGGGTAGCTATGACAATGAAGTCCAAAAGTGGATAAGTTTCCTAGAGCAAAATGTCACAGAAACAACCAGTTGAATGATATCTTGGATATCTTGGATCTGGCAATGGGCAATGAGGCAGGTTTAATAAATGACATCTAAGTAAAAGGTAACCTAGAAAGTAGTGATCATGACAGAATTGAATTTGCAGTTTGAGACTGAGAAACTTGGGTTAGAAACAACTGTGTTTATCCTAAATAAAGTGAATTACAATGAAATGAGGACAGAGTTTGCTTATATTAACTGGGCACACAGATGAGCAGGAGTGATAGCAAGCAACATTTAAGGAGGTAATTCATGACTCTTAGCAAAAATATATCCCAGTAAGGAGGAAACATCCTAAGACATAGATAAACTAACCATAGCTAACCAAGGAAGTTAAAGAGGTTATTAAGTTGAAAGAAATAGCACATGAGAAGGGCAAAGTCAGTAGACTGGGATAAATTTAGAATCCAGCAAAGACGACTAAAAAGACATTATAAACAGAGAAAATAAACTATGAGGACAAATTTGCGAGGAATATAAACACTGACAATAAGAACTTCTTTAAATATATAAGAATGAAGAGAGAGGTCAAAGTGGATACAGGCTCCATAGAAAATGAAGCTGGGGAGATGGTTTTGGTCAACAAGGAAATGGCAGAGGAGTTAAAGACTGATGCAAAATATGTGCCTATGGTGGAAGATACTTCAAACATTTCATTACTACAAAAGAATATGGAGGAAGAATTACGTACCATCACCATCACTGGAGAAGTGGTATTAGACAAACTAATGGGTCTAAAGGCGGATAAGTCCCCTGCCCCTACTTAAGGCTGAGATAGATTCTTGATCAGTAAGAAAATCAAGGGTTACAGGTCAGGTAGGAAAGTGGACATGAGGAATGTCAGATCATCCATGATCACATTGAATAGCAGAGCAGGCTCGAGGGGCCGAAATGACCTGCTTCTGTTCCTATTTCTTATTGTCTTATGGTCATAATGACCCAGATGGCAATCCCAGCCCAGGGGGTGCAAGGCCTGGTGTCAGGGTCTCCTCGACTGGTGCTAGGGGAAGAGGAGAGTTCCAGTTTTCCTTTGTCTGTTAAGTCTCGGGGAAATGACATGAACTGTGCACGAGCAGCTCGGGACACCTGGTGCACCACCAACTTTTAAATGTGGTTCTGGCTCCAACAGTGAGACAGAGAATATGATGAGTGTGGCACCACACCGTCTGGTGCATAGGTAATGCGGTGAGTTAAGGAAGATAGCATGAAAAAACCTGCTCTGAGAGAAGAGAAACCCACCATGAAACTTGCCAAAATTAATATTTAAGTGATTTCTGGTAAAGTTCAGCCCAAAGCCCTATTTTCTCCAGGGTGTTCAATGATTCCTGGTCTCTGAATCATTATTTACTATTTGAATTTATATAATTTCAATTAAGTCTTGTATAAAACCTATTTGCACTTGTACAATTTAACTAGAATATATTTGAACATTTTAAACTTACAGCAACAATTTTGGAAAATATGAGAGCAAATGCAGGCTGCAGGACACCATTTATAATGGAAGAGAATGTTCCCAGAAGTATATAAGGCCATTCAGTCTTGTTCATTCTAAGGATACGCAGAAAGGACATGTTGGGAAGATTTTCATCCTGAAAAATAGAATCGTTTCATATACAGTTGTAATATGGAATATGGTTTCCAAAACTGCAATCTGTAAATGATTGAACTTCAGATTCTGTTAAAAAAAACCTGTTCATTTTTAAACCTAAAAATGGCTAAATGAATGTTTTAAATTTAGTAAAAACAGAAAATGCTGGTAATACAGAGCAGAGGTAGATGCAGTTATTTGCTCTTGTTGCAGATGTTGTTCTACCTCAAAGGTCCAAGCAGTTCCCACATTGCAGGAAAGTCTGACATTACGGCCTGAGGTAGCAGAAAAGACAAATTTTTGAAAACTAACTTGAAAGCAAAATAGGTCCCGCAAGCAAAAGCCTTCCAGGCAAGGAAGGAGTTGTGTTGTTTCGGTCTTTGAAGTTTTCTTAGTCTGTCAATTTTACAGAACCAATGTACTTTCACTTGTTAATCCTTCAAGTTTTAGATAGCACTGGAATACCATTCATTGGCTGGGAAAGCCAGAACGCTGGGTTAAATTTCATTTTAATTGCCACTTAACATCTGAAAATAACAGACCTGACATTTACACCAGGATTTATCATGTGCCTCCAAGCAACCTCCAGTTAAAGGGGAGAATTGAGTGGGATTATACTAGGTTTCTAATACACTGATATTTTTCACGATTGGACCTTCAAGCTGCACCAGCACCTGATTCCACATGTTCTTCCCTTGCATGTTAATATTCTGCTTATTAACTCAGTTCTTCTCTCCAAACAAATGCTGTCAAACCTTCTGAGTGTTTCTAACACTTCCTGTTTTCAATTCAGATTTCCAGCATCTGCCATGGTTTGCTTTTGCAGTTTAGAGCAACAGTGCAAACAATTTCTGATCATATTGTAGACTGACAATGGGGATACAAGTGAAATAACTTGCATGAATAATCGCAAAAACCAACAATTGATTACTGGCTGACATTTTGTAATTATAAAGGTAATTTAAAAACAGTATCACAAATTTCCATTTCCCACACTACCCACCATTGTGCCCTCTTAAGACTGTTAAGCCAATGAAGCACCAATGTTGAACCCAAATCCCACTGAGAATTCAATGTTCTCAACCCTAATACCAATAAATCTCAAACTTCTGCGAATAATGAATGCTTTATATTAATTTAAACATTTGAAAATCATATTGTATAGTTAGCTACTACAAGATGCACTGCAGAAATTCACTCGAGATCCTCAGACAGCACTTTTCAAACCCATGACCCAGAAGGATAAGGGCAGCAGATACAATGGGAACACCACCAACTGCAAGTTTCCCACCATGCCACTCACCATCATGACTTGGAAATATATCATCGTTCCTTCACTGTCGCTGGATCAAAATGCTGGAATTCCCTCCCTAATCGCATTGTGGGTCAACCCACAGCAGGTGGAATGCAGTGGTTCAAGAAGGCAGCTCACCACCACCTTCACAAGGGCATCTATGAATGGGCAATAAATACTGGCCAGCCAGCGACCCCCACATCCCACAAAATAAATAAGGAAAAGAAGCCCAAATACCACTGAACTCAATTAACAAAGAGACATGAAACGAATTTCTCTTACTGCTTTGAATTATTAACTTTTCAACTACACTAGGACAGAAAGACAATACAAGATAAAGATTTATGATACTTATATAGGCTGACTAGAAGCATCATAAGTAATAAAATTCCAAGATGGGATATTAATGCACCACCTAAAACAGATTCTTAACTAAACTATAGAGACCTGTACCTGTGGAACATCAGCATCCTTATTTTCTGTAGCTGTTCCTGGCTTTTTCATGCTAGCACGTGTTGACTGTCTTCGCAGTGGCTTTGCAGCAACAGTCTTGGGTTCAGCTTCATTTCTCTCAATAGCCAATTTGTCCGTCTCATTGTCTTCATGCCTAAATGTCTAAAAACAAATTACATTACATTTTAAGTTTTTAATTTTATTTAAGCAAATTAAACATATGCGCGCACATTTAGTGAAATTTAATTCTGAAACTTTTTCAGAGATGTTATTACTCTTCTGCAGCAAGTGGGACTTGAACTCATGTCTCCTGGTTCAGAGGTAGGGACACTACCACAAGAACCCTTTCCACAATCATACATGCTTTAAATCAATAGTTAAAGTCATCCATGCATTTAAAGAGGTAACTAACTTTCAAGAGTACCTGCGCAGTCACCAATGCATGATAAATTCCTTTTGCCTTCATCAGTTCTTCATGGGTTCCCATCTCTGAAATGACACCATCCTGTAAACCTGCAATGATGTCTGCATTTTGGACTGTTGACAGACGGTGAGCAACAACTATAGTAGTGCGGCCTTTGCGTACCTTTCAGAAAATACAGGTTATGTTTAGATCGTGACACGTATCATGCTTCCAGCCCAGTGCTTGTGTAGCTTCCTTACAGAAATATGTAGCTGTTTCTTAAAAATCTTTGCACAACAATGCTCTCAATGCTTTTAGGGAGAGATGGGCACCGTGCGGGTGCCTTGTATTTTGATTTCTTCCCTATCCCCTTAACTTTCTTCATGTAAGCATTGCCCTTATCTGGCTTTGCTTGTGACTGGTTCACTGGTCACATAGGTGTTTTCCTGGTGGTGGAAATATTGAATAAAGATTTTTGCATAATGGTGTCTTTACTGAGTCACTGCACACACAACCACCGGCGATGTGGGGAAATGTAAGCAGTTTTTAAAAAAACATAAATAGTGGATTCAGAGAGTCTCCACGCCTCAAGGAAAGAAAAGTCTTTGTAAATCCTTGCCACAGTTAACAGCACTCTTCACCTTGAGGTGTGAAAATGGTATGTTTGAGCCCCAAAGCAACAGGAGATCTGATTGCGCAGTTGGGATGAAATGTCCGCACAGCATTCACAGAATTATAAAACCAGCCGGCACTAAAGCAGCACATTCAACTACCCACAGTAACTCTGTTAAATTGGTATCCAATTAGTCTCATGCTCCCATTCATTTTCCTTAACCCCTATAAATCTTTCCTTTCGAAATACATGTTTATATTCGCACCTTCAAACACTACTACCAAAAATAATTTAACTCAACTTTCCTGTTACTTGTGAGGTCTCAATGTGTGCAAGATGGAGTAGAAGGAAGCTAGTCTTTTGGTGGATGGGACTCACTTGAATTGTGCTAGGACCGACATTCTGGTGTATCAAATAGCCTACACTGTAGAGAGGACTTTAAACTTAATTGGTGGGGTCAAGGCAGGGGATGGTGGAAATACATAGGCATACAAAGCAAAAGGATATAAAAGCATTGCAGAGATGCTTTAAGGTGAAGATACTAAGAGTGGGATAGGATGGAGCAGAGGTAGAAACATTAAAAAAGTAGCAAGCCAGGGGAAACGTAGTAAAAAGGCAAAATTAATAGCTTTTTCCTTGATTACATGTAGTATTCAGAATAAAATTAATGAATTAATGGCACAAATAGAAGTTATTAGCTAGGATCTTATAACCATTAAGAAAACATGGTGACAAGGAGGTTAAAGCTGGGAACTAAATATTCAGGGATACTTGACTTTTTGAAAGGACAGGCAGGAAGGAAAGGTTAGAGGAATGGCTTTATGAGTAAGGGATGGATAAGTTCAACAGCAGGATCTTGGATCGGAAAATGTAGAATTCATATTCATGGAGGCAAGAAATAATGAGGGGAAGGAGTCATTGGTGAGAGTAGACCATAAGCCTCACAACAGCAGCTATACTGTAGGGCTGAGAATTGAATTGAATTGAATTAGCTTTAAATAAATCAGGAGATAATGAGAACATATAAAAAGTACAGTACATGAATCATGGGAGAATTTAATTTTCATGCAGACCAGAAAACCAACTGGCAGAGATGATCACAAGAAATAATTCAGAGTGTGTATTTGGGACAGTTTCCTAGAACAATATGCTGTGGATCTAACCAAGGATAAGGCCATTTTGGATCTGGTAATGTGAAATGAGGCAGGTTTAATAAACAATATCACAGTGAAAGATCCTCAATGTTACAATGACCACAATAAGGCAGGATTTAGCATTCATTTTGAGCATGAGGAACTCGGGTCAGAAACAACTATGTTAAACTTAAATGAGGGTAACTATAAAGTAATGATGGCTGAGTTGGCTAGAGTGAACTTGGAAAGTGGATTAGCAGAGAAGACAGTTGATGAACAATAGCAGATATTTAAGAAAATAATTCATGACTCACAACAGACATATATGCCAGCGAGGAAGACGGATTCTATGTTGAGAATAAACCAACCATGCTTAACCAAGAAGGTTAAGGATAAAACCAAACTGAAAGACAAAACATGCTGTGTGGCTAAGATTAGTTATACCCCAGAAGAATGAAAAAAGATTATAAAATCTATCAAAAGATGACCAAAACAAAAAAAAATATTTGAGGGTAAACTAGCAAGAAATACGAAATGGACAGAAGGACTTCTTTAAATTGAAAAAATAATGAAAGAAGCCAAATTGAACACAGGCCCCCTAGAAAATGAGGCTTGAGAAATATTAATGGGGAAATCAGGAAAAGAAAAATGATTGAATAAATACTTTGCATCACTCGTCATGGTAGAAGATGCTGTTAGCATTCCAAAAATATTAAATAATCAAGGGACAAAATGTGGGTTGTGTGTTGAAGGAAGTAAAACAAAACTGTCACTACAGACAAAGAACTAGCAACGTCAACGTGGCTAAAGTCCAATAGGTCCACTGAGCCTAATGGATTGTGTCCTATGGTATTAAAGGAAGTAGCGAGAGGAGATGGATGCATTGGTTGGAATCTTCCAAAAATCCTTAGATTCTGGAGAAGGATTGGAAAACTGCCAATGTAACAGCCTAATGCAAAATGAGAGGGGGACAAAACCAGATAGGCTGGTTAGCTTAATGTCTGTCACTGCGAAAATGTTAGAGAGAGCATTTAGAAATGCATGACAAACATGCAGACTAAACAAAGCTTCATGAAAGGGAATTTATGCATGACAAATACATTAGAATTCTCTGAGGAGGTAACAATCAGGATAGATAAAGTGGAACCAGTAGCTATAATACATTTCGATTTCAGAAAGGTATTCAGTAAGAAGTTACATCCAGTAAGATATTACATGTAAAGTACATAGTGTGAGGGATTGTATATTGACATGTGTAGAGGATTGGCTAACTGATAGAAAACAGAGTTAGAATAATGAGGGCATTTTCAAGTTGGGAGTGGAGTGGCACAGGGATCAGTGCTGGGTCTCAATTATTTACAACGTATGTTAATGACGTGAATGAGGGAAGTGAATGTACTATCACCAGATTTGTAGATGACACAAAAATAGGCGGGAAGGCAAGTGGTAAGGATAACACAATGAGTCTACAGAGTAGACTGACCTATCCCTCCCTAACTCCCCACCTACACTCACCTTTACTGGCTCCATCCCCGCCTCTTCGACCTGTCTGTCTCCTCTCCACCTATCTTCTTCTTTATCCATCTTCTATCCACTTCCCCCTCTCTCCCTATTTATTTCAGAACCCCCTTCCCCTCCCCTATTTCTGAAGAAGGGTCTAGGCCCGAAACGTCAGCTTTCCTGCTCCTCTGATGCTGCTTGGCCTGCTGTGTTCATCCAGCTCTACACCTTGTTATCTCAGATTCTCAAGCATCTGCAGTTCCTACTATCTCTATTACAGAGGAATATCGACAGGTTATAATTTTCAATGCTATTATCTTCTCAGGGGTGGCACGGTTGCTCAGTGGTTAGCTCTGCTGCCTCACAGTGAAGGGACCCAAGTTCGATTCCAGTCTCGGGCGACTGTGTGGAGTTTGCACATTCTCCTCGTGTCTGTGTGGGTTTCCTCCAGGTGCTCTGGTTTCCTCCCACAGTCCAAAGATGTACAGGTTAGGTGGATTGGTCATGCTAAATGTGTCTAGGGTGGGAAATGCAGGGATAGGGTAGGGGGTCGGTCTGGATGGGATGCTCTTCAGGGGGTCATTGTGGACTCGATGGGGTGAATTGCCTGCTTCCACACTGTAGAGATTCTATAAAAAGAAGTGAGTGGACAAAATCTTGGCAGATGGGATACATGAAAATATCCTTTGACAGGAAAAGCAGAAGAGTTGAATATTATTTCAACAGAGAAAGACTGCACAAAGCTGCAACACAAAGGGATTTGGGATCCTTGTACATGAACCACACAAAGCTAGCATACAAGATTAACAGGTAACAGGAAAGGCAAGTAGATTGTTAGCCTTTATTTCATTGGGAATGGACTACAAAAACATTTTTCTAAAACTATCTAAGGCACCAGTTAGACCACAACTACAACACTGTGAATAGTTTTGGTCTCTTTATGTAAGGAAAGATAGAATGGCACTGGAGGCAATCCAGGGTAGGTTCACTATGTTGATCCTGGATATGGGGGGACCATCTTAGAAGGAGCAGTTGAGTGAGTTGGGCCTATTCTCCTTGGAGTTCAGAAAATTAGGAAGCAACCTTACCAAAACATACAAGATTCTTAGTGGGGTTGATAGGTAGATGCAGAGAGGTTATTCCTCTTTGTGGGAGAGTCTAGGACCAGAGGGCATAATCTCAAGATAAGGGGCCATCTATTTAAGGCTGATAAGGAGGAATTTCAACTCTCATAGGGTAGAAATTATTTACTACAGAAGGCAGTGGAGGCTAGGTTGTTAAATATACTCAAGGCTGAGATAGTTGGATTTTTTAAATCAATAAGGAAGTCAAAGCCCTTGGGAAAATGACACAAAAAGTGGAGATGATGATTAGAGCAGCCATGATCTTATTGAATGGCAAAGCAGACTCAATGGCCCAAATAGCTTATTTTGCTCACACATCATAAGATCTGACATTTGCCCACATACAAATCACTGTCCTTCAAAATAGTATCTTCTTAATTATTTCATGGAATGTGACTGTTGTTGGCAAGACCAGAACTTGTTGGAAATCACTAACTGTCCTTCAGAATCTCATGGTGAGCCACCCTTTAAGGTAGTCAAAGCGGTGAAAACTAGTGATAGTGGAATGGGGAGTTTTTTTAAGAACCAGCAGCAGATGACTAAAAAAACAAAAAAGGAGAAAACTCATTATGAAAATAAATTGGCAAGAAATATAAAAATATATATAGCAAACAAACAGCTACATAAAAAGAATGAAAGTAGCTAAAGCAAGTGTTGATCCACTGAACGATGTTACTAGGGCATTGACATCAGGGAAATGGTAGATAATTTAAACTAATATTTTGCATCTGTCATCACAGTGGACGACATATAAATATCCCAAAAGATATCAGATAAGCAAGATACTAATGGGGTGACAGATCTGTTAACAGCCTATATCACGAGAGTCAATGTATTTGACAAACTGAACGCAAGCTAGGATGTGATGGCATGTATCCAAGACTTTTAAATGAAGTGGCTGCAGAGATAGTGGAAACATTGGTCAAAACATTCCAGACTGTTGTTTTCATTGAAAATGCAACTCCCTATCTACTATTTTTGTTACAAATAAAGAGTCAAGGGACCAGGCATCTCCGTTCACTCAAATGCTGATTTGCAAAGCAAAGTCACACCAACAGTGTGGGTTCAATTCTCACATCGGCTGAAGTCACTGTGAAGGTCCCACCTTCTAAACCTGAAGTGTGGTGACCCTCAGGTTAAACTCACCACCGACTGTCTCTCTGTAATAAAACAGCAGCCCTCTGACACTATGGTGACTTTATCTTTACAAATGAGGAATAGTTACCTCAATTCTTGTCGTTCCTCAACCAGTACCACAACAGCATTTCAAGACAAAACTGTAAAAGTGGGCAATCCTTCCAATGAAAGAAACCTCTCAATTACAGTAACATAATTAAACTAGCATTAGCTAAATTAAAGAAAGAACAATTGTTACCTTATCGAGAGCAGCTTGAACAGTAGCTTCACTCTCAGCATCCAAAGCAGATGTAGCTTCATCCAGCAGCAGAATCTTGGGATTGCGCACCAGAGCACGTGCAATAGCAATTCTTTGCTTCTGGCCTCCGCTCAGCTGTGTGCCTCTTTCTCCAACTAACGTTTCAAATTTCTGCAGAAAATTTCAAGATCAGAGTTAGTGACACATTATACATGTCTACTTATGAAGAAAAAGTTAAAGTAAGTAAGCCTCTTTTAATAATGACTGGATGTCTCAAACTATCAAAGGTCATTTTCTCCTTTGGATGAATCCAGAACTAAAGGGCAAAAACAATGTTTAAAAATGAGGACATGAAAAGAATGTTTTTTCTCTGAGGGTTGTACACAGTGGAACTCTCTGGCCTAGAAGGCAGTGGTGACTGGATCATTGAATATTTTTATGATGGCAGTACGTAGATTGTTGTTAGACTAAGCAGTCAAAGATTACTGGGTAGATCGAATTTGGAATTTAAAACACAAGATCAACCATGATTTTAATGAATAGCGGAGTAGGCTAAAGGGGCCGAATGGTCTATTTCTAATTATAATTTATATATATATAGATGTGTGTACTATTGCCAGAATGTTGTCTGTACATATAGCAGCTTGGCCTCAGGTCTGCAGCATCACAGATCCAGTCTTCAGCCAATTCATCTCTCTTTGTGAAATTATGAAATGGTTGCTGGTACTAGATACCCTTCATTTGATCTCTTGGGTGATGGCAATGGTAGAATGAGGAATGGATGTGCCAGACCAAGAGGTTGCAGATTATGATTGAATACAATTCTGCTTCTGCTGCTGTTGCTGCTGGAGGCCTACAGTGTCTCATGGATGCCTAGTCTTGTGTTGCTGGATGTATTTGAAATCTATCCTATTCAGCATGGTGATACTGCCACACATCACAATGAGTGTACTCTCAATGTGAAAGTGAGACTTCATCCCTGTCAGAATTTCATTCCATGGACAGATATATCTGCTGTAGATGGATTGGTGAGGACATGGTAAAGTACATTTTCCATCTTGTTGGTTCCCTCACCACCTACCAGACACAATGTAGCAGTTAGGTCCTTTTGAAGATTCAGTGAGCACAGTTAGTTATAATACTACCAAGGAACTCCTGGTAATTGATTCTGATGTCCCCACTCAGAATACCTCACCACCCTCAGTGCTAACACAAGTAGTGTTCAACATGGAGGAGAACTGACTCATCATCTGAAAGGCAAGGCAGTGGGTTATAGGTGGTAACCAGCTGGAGGTTTCCTTGACTATATTTGACCTGAGTTATGATTCCAGCTAATGTTATTGCTGGACAAGTCAGATCCTAGATCAAAATGTGACTTGATAGATTTTTGTTTAATTGGTTGTAACAAGGTGGTCTTTCACTGAAATACAAATAACCAAAACTGCAGATTTGGTTTTAACAATAAAACAAACGCTTATTGTGGAAAAGAAATTGAATAAACCAAGCCACTTACATATACTATAAATGTAATGATCTCGAAACTCACAGTAACACACAGACCTGTTAAAAACATCAGCGCCCTTTTATAGTAACATAACTGTTGTTTTAATTCTCAGTCTTGAGAATCTGATAGTACACCCACACCTCCTTGAGTAGCTATGCAATTGAGTTTAGACCATTTTTTTTACCTCGAATAACCCCTTCAGGATTTTAACCAAACAATTCTGGTCTTGAAATTCTCAAATAAACTCCTTACACTGAGGTAACTATTTCTTAACAGTTCTGAGATAGTAGGAACTGCCAATGCTGGAGAATCTGAGGTAACACGGTGTAGAGCTGGATGAACACAGCAGGCCAAGCAGCATCAGTGGAGCAGG